CGTAAAGCAAACCCGTCAACCAACCCAACACTGTCATCACAAACCAAGACCACCTGGGCCGTAAAGCAAACCCGTCAACCAACCCAACACTGTCAATCGACTCAACATGGGCTGTAATGCAAACCCGTCAAACAACCCAGCTCTGTCATCACAAACCAAGACCACGTGGGCAGTAAAGCAAACCCGTCAACCGAACCAACACTGTCAACCGACTCAACAGTCTTCACAAATCAAGACCACCTGGGCCTTAAAGCAAACCCCTCAACCAACCCAGCTCTGTCATCACAAACCAAGACCACCTGGGCCATAAAGCAAACCCGTCAACCACAGGAGGCTGGGGTGATTCTGATGCTTGGCAAACCATTGTCTTTCAGATTAGAATTCTACTCCATAGGGATTTCAGTAGCAGTGATCTTGGAGCAATAAGGAGTGACTAAGAACAAGGTTAAGGAAGAAGTCCTTGGTGCTGGTTCATAAAAAAATCCTTGAAGCTTGGCTAAAAGTATTGGCTAGAAGCCTAGAGTAGGCTAGAGATCAGACAGATCAGAACAGCGGTCAGACCAGAAATTCAGGCTTGCGGTGCTGGGAGTCTCTGGCCCATGAAAACAGCATGAATGTCATCTTCAATCAGGAGCCGTGGAGGAGGGTTAAACTGACGAATTGTTGCAGTTTTGGAATAAGACACAAATCCAACAGTGAGACCTAGAAGACGAGAAGCCAGGCAGACGGCTGGCACTACAGTCTAAAGGAAGAAGCATGAACCCTGGCAAGTGACGAGGGGCAGTCAGGGATAGGACCTTGGGGACTGGCCATCAGAAGTGAACAGAGGTGTGCTAATTTCAGGGTATAGTCAGCTGAACTTGAAGGCCAGTGACAGCCTCTTTTTAGAGTTCGCAGAATGCGTTCATGGCTGGCCTCATCTGTACCCCACAACTTGATAAGCAAAGTGTTCCCACTTTATAAGGAGGCTGAACACTGGAGAAGCGCTGGGCCACTAACTGAAAGACCAACCAAGGTAGAAAGATGTAGGAGCCTTCCATAGAGATTATTGTTATTATTGTCGGATATCATAAAACCAGAACCGACCCACAGCTGCTGACCCTCCAGCAGGTTTTCAGAGGCAGTAATCCAAAGGGCTGGAGAGCAACGATGTCAGTCTGGAAACTAAGGTGCACCTGATACAGGCCATGGTCTTTGCAATTACTTTCTATGCATAAGAGAGCTGGACGATGACTAGGGATGATAGAGAATTGAGCTGTGGTGCTGGAGAAAAGCAGTGAATATACCATGGACTGCCAGGAGAACAAACAAGTTCGTTCTGGAGCGGGTGAGACCAGGCTGCTCCTTGGAGTCAAGGATTCTGAAGCTTCGTCTGACATACTTTGGACATGTTGCAAGGTGGGATCAGTCCTTGGAGAGGGATGTCATACTTGGGAGGGTGGAGGGAGAGCGCAGGAGAGAAAGACCCACTATGAGGTGGATTGATTCAGTGACTGGGATTATGGGGATAGGTGGTTCAGAGACAATGAGATTGGCACAGGATAGAGCAGGATTTAGGGCTATTGTACATAGGGTCCCTATGAGTCGCCGGTAACTCGACAGCACATAACAACAAAGAGATCACATGAGAGGAGATCGCCTGTCCTTCTCCCGTGAAGCAACTGACGCATTCAAACTACATGCATTCAGGGTTGCAGTGCAGATTCTTGGCTCTAGGCCACCAGAGGTCCCTTCCGTAGAGATTTTCAGTCTCGGAAATCCTGTGAGGCAGTTGTGCTCTGTCCTGTGGGTTCGCTGAGTCAGTCTGGTTCCTTTCTCATTTACAGCTTGGGAGGCCAAGCTCCAGAGAGGTCGTATGTCTCTCTCTGGCTAATGTGGCTGGCTATTAAGATTGTGGAGGCTTAAACCAAAACCTCTCGTCAAGATGGGCCCTCTTTTAGGTGTTCACGGAGGCAGAGTAACCAGAACCGATCAGATGGGCCATTTCCTTCGAGTGGTGAAACGGGCAGAGAGAGTAGCAGAAGTCAAAATGAAAAAGAACCCTGAACTTAGCGCGTGCCCAGAACCCATGATGTCTCTGATGCCTGAGAAACCCAGAAAACATCATAACCTTCCATCTTCTGACAGCCAGACACTGCGAAATATCCACCACGTACAGAGTCTAATCTGTCAGGTAGTCAGAGGACTCAAGAGAAGCGTAAAGGAATGGTCCCCTTCAATCCCATAGGATGTTCGGAATACCAGAATGGACTTGTCATCAGCCTATACATGTTGTTGCAAAGGTCTAGAAAAGGAGTTGTTGTTTTTGTTGTTCAGGGCCACAGCTGACTCTCTAGCAGGTTTTCAGAGACCAGTAAATTGCCACGGGAGGAAACTGCCCATCATTCTCCCGCTGGTGGATTTGAGCTGCATGCCTTTAGGGTTGCAAGGCAGCTTCTTACCACTAGGCCACCAGAGCTCCCTAAAAAAAAGGAGAAGGAGGATACAAACGAATAAAGCTTAAGTTGTTGTTATCGGGTGTTGTCACATTGACTGTGACTCCTATTGACCCTATTATGAAATTGAAACTTTGCCCTATCCATCATGTGACTCTCGCAGTCTCCATCCACCACACTCACTGTGTCAACCCATCCTGCTGTGGGTCTTTCCCTTTTGCACAGACCCACTACTTTTCCAAGCACAACACCCTTTTTCCAAGGACTGGTGCCTCCTGTCAACATGCCCACAAGTGGAGCAAGAACTCAAGAGGTCATTAGAAGGGAGCTCTGGTGGCCTAGTGGCAAGACGTTGCACTACAATCCCAGAAGAACGCGGTTCAAATCCACCAGATGCTCTGCTGGAGAAGGAGGGGGCAATCTCCTCCTGTATCAGTCAGATCTGATTTGACGGTACACATAAAGGGCACACTGACAAAGGAGATTAATCAGAACTGGCTTTGACAAGCACTGTGGCAAATGGACAATTAAAACAGACATTCGGGGGTGGGGGGAAGAAGAACGAACTGGGGAGGAGGGTAGAGAAAATAGTGCAACAATGAATGAATAAGAACCCAAAATCTCTGTAAATGTTCATTAAAATT